CTCTGGAGCTGTTAAAGAAGCATGCACGTTTTATGACTTGGGAAGTTTGCACCAACGGCAACGCAGTTGATTGCCCTAAAGCAATCAGTGCCATCAGTGACCCATGTTGAAAGGTTGTGTGAGCACGGATCTCTAATTTTTTTTAAGTGCATTGTTAAATTAGGTATTGTGGAGAGATATTTATGAAAAGAAACAGGGTTAATATAGTCAATACTGTGCTGAATGGACTGTTCATTTCACTCAGTATGAAGCAGTTCTTTATAAGCTGGGATGTAGGTGCTTCCCACACATAATCTTGTGTGGCATGCATGTGCTTCTCACACATAACATGTCATGGTGCTAGAGCAGACAGAGCGAAGAATAGGACTGAACTAGGAGGTCACAGCTCCAGCTTATTGACGTATACACGACACAGTTCACTTCTGTGCTTGAGTGCACAGATTGGCAGAGAACGTAAGTACAGTACTGTGTTATGTAATCAAAATGGAACTATTGACAAAAGTGAGGCATCAGTATTCTCAGGTTAACACCAAGGTTTGGAGAAGTGGTAGAGGCATAAGGAGAGGGAGAAAATAGAACTCTCATCACCCACAAAACAGTGCAAAGAAGAACGAGCACAATCAATGGATATAGTGTGCTGAATTTGGGTGGACAGGGGCAAGGAACAGAAAAAAATATTTTGGGGGAAAATGCATGTCTGGCACACTGTATGAGAGGGCACCACACTGCAACACTTTACTGCAGTTCCTAGTACACGTTTTCCAAATGAGCCCTCACTCCCAGCTTATTAGAGGTGGCAGGACAAATCCTTTAAAATGTTCTATAAACTATTTGGTATGTTCTAATTTCACATGAGTCTTTGCACCAATTCCTCAGTTTCTAAACGCTGGTTAAAGCTTCATAAAGGTTCCCGATGCAATATGTTTCTTTCTTCTCTCTCACTAGCACATACTTGGGAAGACAAGCCTGAAATGTCAGCTGGGGACATTTAGAAACATAAGAGCTTAACCATTCGATACACTTCCAAGTACGCTATTAAAACCAACAAGAGGGATGTTTGTTTTGAAGCCCGATAGTTTGCTGACAATAGACTTTGGCCAATATGAGCTCTTTTGCCTCTTGCCTAAAGAAGACTAATTTCTTGGCATTTCGAAGGCTTCATGGTCTGGTTAACACAGAGAGCGCAATAGATTGTTTGCTTTTAATAACAGACATGAACATTCACATGGAAAACCAGTAAATCCTTTTCTTGCCTTTCCATACATACATCAAAAAGCAATCGTGACTGTGCATCCTGGTGCCACAGTCTTACCTGTATTTTTACTCCATATTCCTTGGGAAAGTTACCTTTTTGGAATACAGATCCCAGATTCCCCATCCTCTGGCCTGAATCCTAGCCCAAACTTAGAGAGAGCTAGACCACCATCTAAAGACCATCCTGGTCATCAGAGTTGTGTAACTGTGACACTTGGACTAACGAGACTAAAGAATTAAAGCATAGCAAAGATTTATATTAAGGGATATAACTCATAGGCAGAAATACTGTACAAACGCAAAATAAGCAAACTTTCATGATTGAGAGGGTTCTGAGATTCAGTCTGGAGGAGACTATTTAAGAGGTGGTAGAAGGATAAGAAGAGGAAACAAATCTTCTTGTTTTGCTGAGGATCTTTCCCTAAGCCATACACACATAAAGGAAAGGGGGTAGATTGGGGAGCCACCAATGTGGGGGGGGGGAGAATACTCCCAGAAGATAGATTAGAGGTGACAAAGATTACCTCTCATTAGTCTGCTTAGACTGTCTTAAAGCTGGGGAGCATTGAGACTGCAGCTGGAACAACGAGCAGGAATTCTTGGGCAAGGATTACAAAAGAGAATATGCTAACAGAGGTCCCAGGCCAGAATCCAGAAATTCAGGAGAACAACATATAGGCTAGCAGGATTCTCTAGATAAATACTGGATTCTGGGGAGTTAAAACAGTGATTTCAGCCCAGATAATTAAATCAGCACACCAATACTTGACAGGGATAAGCAGGAGCACGAGCCAGGCAGGCACAGACACAAAAAGAGGCACCCCAGAGCCTTCCCCCCAGGACAACTAATATAGCTACTGTACGTATGTCTTTTATATGGTTTCTGGTCAGGCTGACAGTGATCTGGCCTCTTGTTAATCATGTGTCCTGTTCTGCCCTCATTGTAATCTTTGCCCACTTAGCTAATCCTATTTGGTGGTCCAGAAACAATGCAGAGGAAGAAGAACAAGGCAGTTCTATTTACAAAAATTCAGACAGACTACAGTATTCTATGATGGAATCTCTCTCAGACCTCCGGACAATCCCTGTAATATAAAAATAAGAGAAGGAGATGTCATCTATGTGGACTGCCTGCTGGAGGGCTGTCCTGCTAGTTGACTCTTTGACTGGGGTATTCGTGTTTTCCCTGTAATTTTGCTAGGGGCTGCTAGAGCTATTCCTGTCATTTTCCATTCTAGGCTATTCCTGTCATTTTCTCTTTGGGGCTTGGCTCACTTGAGACCAGAGGCTATTTCTTTACAGCCACTGTTTTTAACTGCATTTGTCCTTGGCCTGACAGGTCTTCTAGTTAGAATAGTCTTTGTTGTGCACATACTTGCTTTAGCAAAAATTAGACTCCGCAAGGGTGTTGCACAAAACTGATCTGTTTGGTAACACTTTGTCACTGGAGATTCAAATGGCTTTAGGTGACCACCAATTATGGCTGGCCTGACAATTGCAATAGATCCTGCATGGGGACAATGAGGGCACAGTATTCCACAAACTGGCAGTTCTCCTCTTGAAGTACCACCATCTACTCTACAGGGAGCCACCCACAGAGAGAACACAGAAGCTACAGCTAGTGCAAAATGTGATAGCCATACTTCTGGCAGGAAAACCACACAGATCCCCCTGGTTTTAAAAGAATTGCATTGGCTGCCAGTATCTTTCTGGTATGAGTTCAAGGAGGTGCTTTAAAAAGTCACATACAGTACAAGCACACCCCTTTTCAACCCACTTCCTTTTGGCCACACATTTGGGTGGAGAAAGTAAATTGAATACAGTAATTTAAAAAGGTACTGTTCTTTGCCACTCTAAGAGGAGTATAGGAGACTGGTGCTGCAAAGAGGTGCTGGTTTTGAAACATATTCATATCACAGCTTGAAAAAATAATTACAGTACTTGTTGGGGTTCCAGCCAACATGATCACTGTGTATCCCAAAAGAGCAACTTTTCCAAGCTCTACTCCAAAGGGAAGCAGCATCTATTCTGGTTAAATCCACTGAGGAAGCCTTGGGGCACTATACTTGTCTTTGCTGACAAGTCACTGTAGTTGAAAAAAAAGTAACTTTAATCAAACTCAAGATTTCCAAAAGGAGGGGTCCTCTACACCAGTTAAGCCAACTGAAGAAACGGGATGGGCAGGTGGGGGGAACGATGGCATCCTTGCCTCTCCTGGCAAGTTGGCTCTTGTCTCTGATCTTCGCTAGTTATGTCTTTGACACACATTCTGGCATCTTGGCGTCACTCCCAGAAACTGAAGTAATTTTCCAAACCCTGCCCCTTGTTTAGCAGCGCTGCTGGAGACAGAGAAAAGAGAGAACAGAACCGGGGAGGAGCTGGTTGGGGGAAGTGCCTCACCCGCCAACATTTTGTCCCTCTTATCTGTGAGGTGAGGCAAGGTGGCCACCTCAGACAACAGATGCCGGGTGTCATGGAAGGGGAATACTGTAAATGGTTACGTTTTTAATTTGTTATCCTACAAGGGTGAGGGAGAAGGTGAGGCTGTGGGATTTCCCGCTCTTTATGCGCCAGAATAATTTATCTGGTGTCGGGTAGAGCGCCTCTGGACTTTTGCTGTGTGAAAAGCGTCGGCGGAGTGTGTGCGAGAGGTGCCATTTGCTCCTCCAGC